AATTCTCTAATTTGGGTGAATATTTTTGTCATTTTTGGAAAAAAGTGATATTTTCGACTTCTTGTTAAAAACCGTAAGTCCAATTGCTTTGATATTACATATATAGGTACTACATGTGGACCACTTACAGATTTGTTCATTTCATGATGATATCTTCAATTCTCTAATTTTGCTTAATATTTTTGTCATTTTTGGTAAAAAGTGATTTTTTCGACTTCTTGTTGAAAACCGCAATTCCAATTGTTTTTATATTACATATATACTGTAGGTACTACATGTGGACCTCTTTCAGGTTTGATAATTCCGTGGTGATATCTTCAATTATCTAATTTTTTTGATTTTATTTGTCATTTTGGTGAAAAGTGATATTTTTGAATTCTTGTTGAAAGTCCCATTGCTTTGATACTATACATATTGTTCATTTTGCTAATGATATCTTCGTTCTTTAATTGAAATGTGCATTGCTAACAGCGGAACTTCTCAGTCCGACGGCTGCTTGTTAAACATATCAACTGTTTCTCGGGTGTATCTTCAAATTTCATTCAAACTTGGTTTTGTGTTTACTCATGTCATGCACATTTTTATTTTTGCGATTTGATTCATCTTTCCTGTTTCTCGAGAAGATTCACTTTCATTGATTTTGTAAGTTGACTATATGAAATTTTGTGTTCTCCTACATACTAAAATTCTCATTCTCGTGAAAATAAAATGTATTCCCAAGTATCTAAAGAAAAGTATTCGGATGGCTCAAATAGTTGGTACGGAAGGTCATCATGTGCAATTTACTCCTACACGAGTACAAATCTATATTTATGAACAATGGTATTATTTAAATTGTTTTTTCTTTGCAGTATATGAGCGAGAAGATTGGTGGTGCAGAGCACACTAAGCTGGATGAAGACTTTGTTGAAATGGAAAGAGTAAGTATCCATGCACATACTCTTCCTCGGTAGATCTGGTTTTTTACTTTTAAGCGTCAAGGTCAACTTTTCTCATCTTTCACAAAATAATGTGAAATTATGTCCATTTGGGTCTGTCATTATCAAAAATGCTTTAGATAATTTCATAACTAAATGAAAATGTATATGAAATAGTGATGACACCTTATTACACTCTGATGAGGTTATAGCTATGGGCACTTAAGAGTTCATATTGTTGGCGTGTAAAATCATTCATGAGTAGCAGTGTTCCCCACAAGGAGTTTCAACAGGGCGCAGCCTTGTTTTCCAAAATTTGCACCCTGTTTATTGTCAGTGCCCTGTTATATTTCCTGTGCGCCTTGGTCCCAGTCAAAGAATTGTTAACGAAACCATGAGGTGATAACCCCACAGAACAGAAATTTGCAAGTTTTTTAACACGCATCATGTGGAGAACCCTGAGTAGTACGTGTAATGTGCAGGGAAGATAACAAAGTTATGCACTAC